AAACTATATTATATTACTTCATAATATAACCATTTAGTTATAGTATTTGTATTAAACCCAATATTACTATAACATTTAATAAAAAATTTTTATTAAAATAATAAATTACAATAAAAAATTTAATAATAAATTTGATAATTATAAAAACCATTTTAATTAATTCTTTGTAACTTTTGTAAAAGAATCACCACAACATCTGCGGTTGGTCTGTTTTCAGGTTTATGTGTCCACATTTCTGAAATAACACGATAAGCTTCTGGACTAATTCCTTCTCGAACTGAAAGCCGTTTTCCAGAAGCTACAAAATTGGCAATGCTCCATGGAAATTTAAACTCATCGCCAGTATATGCTTCTCCCCATATCAAAGTCTCAAACAACGTCACAGCCAACGAGTAGACATCAGCTGCCTTCTTATAATGTTGTTTATTCAAGATTTCTTGTGCCATGTATTTTGGTGATCCGATACCCTTTGTGAAAGTCATGTTAGTTGTGAGTAAATTGATGTTTCTACTACTTCCAAAGTCAGTCAACTTTCCATTGACATTCATTCCATTTTCCAAGGAAATGACGAGTATGTTGTCTGGTTTAATGTCTCTGTGTAAAATGTGATTCTCATGTAAATGTAATATCCTTTTAGAAGCATCTATTATGATTTTCATTTTAATTTTCGAACTAATTTCATCACTCTTTTTGTGTTTCATCAAGTCTTGTAAACTTCCATACAAAGCAAATTCGGTGACCATGCATATGTGGTTTGGAATAAAACAAGCGCCATAGAAGTGGATGATATACTCACTTCTAAACTTGTCCAACATATTCACTTCATTTTCGAAATCATTCAGAAGTTGATTCATCTTTTGTATCTGTTTCATCTTTTTTGTTGCAACTTCTTTTCCTCTGAATGTGCCTTTGTATACCATTCCAAAAGACCCTTCGCAAATTAGCTTTATTTCTTCAAGTTCTTTGTAATTCAATTTTGTCGAGTTTGCAGTACAAACAACTACTTGAAGTTTGTGATTATTTTGTTCACCTGTTGTCAGGTTGAGACAGATAACTACAAAGTGTTAGTCTATCTTACATGAGCACAACAGCTTATTGAATATCTCAAACTCACACGCTTCTCCTTTCTTTAGTGTTACTATTGAAGGCATTGTTCGTATTTCATAACAATCACACCCTTCTATAACACCAAATTGCACTTTTAAATGGTGTTTGGTGAGGTTTCCAATACATATCAAGTCGCGCGATTCTTCATCGACTGGAATGAGAGCGTCTGAATCTATGGCAAATTTTAATACATTTTATTGGAACACAACACTTTGTTGAGTGGATTCATTGTTATGTTCGATTTCTTAATATCAAAAACACAGACATTTTGTTCTTTTTCACTTGGCGTTTGTTGAGTAAAATGAAGATTACCAAAAGTATTAAAACAGTAATTGGGATGCCAATCACAACACCAAGATTGACCAACTTTGTGCAACTGTCACCGGAATCTGTTGGTTCTCGTCGACCCTCACACTTAACACACTTCGAATTTATAGCTAACACACATAATTCAACTTTTGTGAAATGAAGGCATTGCGAGTCAACCAACATATTTTCCAAATCGTTACATATGGTACACACACTTTCACTCTCACATGATGTGCAATTTGGAGAACATTCATAACACTTGTGATTTGATAAGAAACGAATAGACACACACCTCTCACATCCAGACAATGATGACGGCTCACAGTTTGTGAGCGTTGTATTCGATTGACACAATTTGCTTTCACTTGGGATGTTGAAATAGCCGTCTTTGCATACAAGACACTCATTACTGTTCACACAAAGTGCACATGACTCTTCACATGATGTACAGCTGATACCCTCTCGATAATACCCACTGTTACAGATCGCACATCCACCTACAGGGATGGCCATTTTACAACTCTCTTGTAATGTACCAAGTGATTTGATGACATGTCAGCACTCAGATAAAAACTATAATTACAATAAGTAATTATAGTTTTTGTAAGTGCAATAAGTTGTGTTGTAACAAGTTAAACAGTCAGTTTCACAATGAATACACTCATTGTTGATGTTGTAATACCCATCAGCGCAGAGTTGTTATTTTTTGTTGTTTCTTATTTGACAGGATGTCTCTGTTGCTGTTTTTGTGTCTGTTTTGAATTTGTTGTCTTCATCAAATGTCTCAGCACAAATTCCGCCCTTCAATTTGAATGCATCAAGACACTCTACACATTGGTGTTCTGTGCACCGTATCTCTTGCAATTTGTGACTGTTGTGGATTCTATTGGAACACAGTAATCATACTTGTCTTCTACATTCTTTGCGTCTGTCTGGTAATACTCCTCACAACAAACAACACATCCACCTGAACTAATTGTTTTGTATGTTGATATAACACTCTTTGATACACACCAAGTGTCAGTGTATTTCACAAAGCTATCCAAACACTTTAGACAGGTACTTATGTCACAGAGACCACAGTTGGTGGTTTGACACTTTGAGCACCTTCCCTGTGATATGTAATTTAAATCAGATTTGTATTTGGTGCAAAACCCATATTTTACTGTATGGCAATTATCATCTGTAACACATTGGTTTGTAGTCGTGTCAAATATATAATTGGTTTGACACTGCAATGGTATCATTTTGGTCTTTGATAATTGGCAAACCGAGACGGAAACACCACAGCCGACACATTCGTTTGAGATGTTGAGATACGCACCATCTCCACACTTGTAAACAATATCATTTCTCATTTCCAAATTTGCACTTTGACATTCGTTTTCATTCAAAGTGAAGTTGTCGTTGCAATTAATACAAACAGAATTTCCCTTTTCAACTTTCTGGTGTTTGCAATTTGTCAAATTGTCTTTACAGTCGGAGTTGACTGAGATCTGATCATAACAGTCACAAAAAGACATTGTGGTGTTGGAAGGACTTTGACATCGAGTTGTTTGTTGGCAAACCCCATTCGCCAAAAAGTAGTTGCTGTTACATAGAAGACAAGTTGACTCGTCGACTTGAATTTGACAGTTCACATCATTACTTTGGCAACTCTTTGAATTTGGATTGTAATACTTCCCACTTAGACACAACTGACACTTCCCACTATTCACTACATAGTTGGTCATACAAGAGGTGCAATTGGAAACACCAACAAAAAGTGTTGAACGCGCATCACAGTTCTCAGTTGCAAAATAACAATTTTCACACGTTGTCTCGGTCTTCTTGTAAGTCCCAATTTCACAATTTGAACAAAGCCCGTTTGAAGCCAGGTATTGTGGGTCTTTGCACTCCAGGCACTTCTTTGTTATTTGGCTGCGACTCGTATAATTTGTGTTGATTGTGCTACATTGAACACATTGGCCGTTTTCGTCTGGGTAATATCCCGTGTTACACATCACACACTTTCTTTCGAATGCAGACGAACATTTTGCGCAGTGTGTGTCACTTTTGGTCAGATTTTAAATATTTAACACGTTGGAACTTCCTTTTTTCTGTTTTATATGAATTTTATTTAAAAAAGTGAACAAATTCTATTTATTTTTTCACTTTCCGATTAATCTCCTAATCGGAAAGTGATTAGGAGATAGATGAGCCAAAAGTGCCAAATATTTGGCACTTTTGATTATTTGAAAACATTCTAATTTTAAATTGACCAAAAAAATAATAGAGTCATTCTCTAAACGTTGTTTTTTCCTTAAAGTTGTCCCTCGGTTTTTAGATATTAATAACTGGAATATATCGGGAAATTTTTCAAAACGCCAGAAAATCATTGTTTTAGTTTTTTTACCATTTTTATGATTTATTACCTAATTCCCAATTTTTTAAACAATTTTTTGTATTTTTTGCAAAAGGGACAACGTTTAGAGAATGATTCTATTATTTTTTGGTCACTTTAAAAATTAATTTTATAAAATTTTTACCAAATTTCATATTGAAACATGAAATTCATGAAAAATGAAATGAAAGGCAAAAATCAAATTTGGTAATAAATTATTTAAAAAATCATATTTTTTGGCTTTAGGCCATTTGAGTGTTAAAGAATAACTAATTTTAATAATAAAACAAAAAAATAATTATTTCGAAAAAAAAAGAAAAAAAAGCTATTGATTATAATTAAAAAATTAAATGTATAGTTAATTTTTTCCATTGTTAATTAAAAATCCGACTTTAGACAAATAAATCAGTTTTTTGTTATTAGAATAAATTACATTTATAACACAATCAATTGATTTTAACAGAATCTAATTACCTTAGAAAACTACAAACTCAAGATATTTAAACAAATTAGATTCTGTTATAATTACATGGAATAAACATTTAAACACAATCAATAAAAGAACTACATCCATTTCCACCGACAGTATTACCCACCCGAAGGCTTTTTATCATGTTTTTCTATCTCGGAGTTTTCATCCTTTTTGGGAACAACGACTTTGTTCCTCAAAAAGTATTTTTCCCAAATCACCATCTTCGGTTGTGTCGTTTCCAAATCCAATTTGCCCATCTGCCCATCGTAAGTGATATTCACAAACTTTGTTCTATTTTGAAAGACATATTCCCAGAAGCAAGGTGTCTTCTCTTCGACTTTTGTTTCAACCCTTTCCTTTTCGGTATCAAACATGAACGTTCCAAATGCCGCACTGAAAATTGCTTCGTTCAGCTCAACCAAAAAGTCTTCATTGAACTCAAATTTGTGAGTAAATGTATTCATCAGGATGTGCACACAGTCTAAAAATTGGAAAAAGATTGGAGAGTATTGCCCAAATGGACATTCTACAGCAAAGCCAGTCCTATTCATTAATCTTTGTCAGTTCTTTAACAACAAACCTTGTCATAAAACGATGTCCAAAGCTCTTCCAATCCTTTTCAACCAACACAATAAACCCTTCCAATGTTCTGTAATACCCGTCTAATATTATTTCTGCTATTCCACAACACTGCGCAGTTCGGTCCCATCCATCAGAACAATGTACCAACACACTTGTTCCACTTTCAATCAATTTGCTTGTCTTTTCCGAAGAGTTTAACACGGCTTCTTGCAATTGGAACCACCGCACAACTTCTTTTGTTTTAATAAAATTTTCATCGATGAATTTTGTCGAGATCCCATACACACTCAAATACAGTTGTCTCCACGTTTCTCTCACAATGTGAATATTCGGAATATTTTCAAAATCGACTTTAAGAAATGGATAAGTGTTTTCGTCTTCATATCCTCCTCCAGCTGCTTTATTAGTCATAGCATTGAGTAATGGTCTCGAGTCGAGGACATGCAACAACTTTCTACCTGTGACTTCATCTACTTTACACAGATAGTCCATATCCCCTGGAATTTGTTTTGTAGTGACTGAAGTAATAAGTCCAGGTAATGGTTGCGAGCTTCTTAGTAGTGCAGAACCCATTTTGTCATTGAACCACGTCAGCACTGGAAATCTTCCTTTACTTCTATAGTTAATAGCACTTTTAATCATCGCGTCGGTGGCTGTCTTTGGCACATACACCAAAGCCGGATAAGTGGAAGACATCGCATACCGTGAATTTCCACTGTATACGTCCCAAACCTGGAACACCCCCTGTCGCTCAAATTCACGTTGAAAGTTGTAAAACGCTTTTGTCTTCTTAAAAGAAGGCGAGCAGAAGATGAAAAGCATTTCTGGCGATGTTGTGTAAACTCGATTCAAAAGTTCTTTGTTAACAGCACGCCGAAGGCGTTGGTTATCGTCGAATGAGAATGTGAAGCATTGGTTGTCTTTTGTCTCGATGTAAAAGAGTCGCTTTCGGACGCGTTCATTTGTGTTGATTTTTTTGAAGTTGGCGATTTTGATTAGCGGGACATAAAACGAGAAGAAGTCGAGTTCTGCTTGAAATTCGATTTTATAATTTGTCATGATGAACTTTCCTTTTGTCTCCACAAATGAGACGGTGTCGTTTCTTGAAGTTAAAACGACGTCGGTAGACAAAATTCGTCGTTCTCCAATTTTAGGTAATGTCGTTTGTTTGTGCGAGATCACTGTTGCAACGTTGATTTCTCCTTCTTCATTGTATTCGTCGATTATTGTGAATTTCATAGTGTTTCTATACAATGAAGTGGTTACTTGTGCTGATGGGTCATCCGCCTCAAACACTGCTTTTCTTTTTAAAAAGGTTTCTGAATATTTGTATGGGATAAATGGTTGGGTTTCTGGTTGAGTTTGTGGACGTGGCTCTTTTGTGGGTTTTTGTTTTACTGGTGGAGGAACGGCAAACCTTTTCGCCTGGAACTTTCTGTGTTCTGGCGACTGGCCAACCTTTTCCATAACTTGTTTGGGGTTTTCAAGTTTGTGGTGTTGCTTTTCAAAAGCATTTAAGATTTTCCATTCATTTCTTTTAGGTTTGAGAAGTATCCAAAGAGTCAAATTCTATCGACTTCTCATAATACTGTATTATATAATAATAATATAACATTGTTTTTATATAATACAATAAAGAAAACATATGAGTTATGTTGACTAATACTACATAACACAAAAAACTTTTAATGACACTTTTTATAAATTGCTTTTATTAATCCAATGATGTTTTTTAATTATCAATTAGTTGGATCATAAAACTCTTAAAAATGATTGAAGATGTTTTTTTATAAGCCATACGAAGTAATTCCTGTAAGTAACGATACACTGGCTGATATCCAAAATGAAATGTTTTATTTGTTTTGTTACGATAATATTTCACTCTCGTGTTATGAGAACATTCAAATTAAAACATTATACGATTTACCAAATAATCAAAAAGTTGTTATTCGCTCTCCAACTCTATTGAATAGAAACAAATTGGTGCAAAAGTCTGTAAAGCGAGAAGGACAAAACATCACATTATTTTCAAATAATCTCCACCTGGTATTAAAAATGCAATTGGCTGAAAATGAATATGTGGTGGAGTCTGCAAAGTCTTTAGACGGTGCCCTTTATATCACATCACAAAGATTTATTCATGTTTCTGTCAAAGACAAACAACAAGTTGTTGAAGATATTTCACTTAACGCTATATTTAATCAACGGTATTATAATGGAGTGTTGAGCATTGGATTAAATCCTTTTTATAATGCAGATTTACCAGATAATTTGAACATCCCACTGCAGCGGGATGAAGCAATTAATATTGGAAATGGAATCAAAAAGCTTCGAATAGTAAATCCTAAAGATAAACCAGAAGTTCGAAATTATTACTTAACACAACCTTTTAGTTTGTTTATTAATTTTTTCATTTGATTTTGGGTTGTTTTAATTATGCAAAAGACTAACAACAAGGAGCAGAAAGAAAGAGTCTTATTGATTATGATTCAGACTTCTTTAAAATTTACACCAATACCAACTATAAGTTATGTGCAACATATCCACCATCTTTTGTGATTCCAAAACCTGTTGCTGATGATACGATATTAAAATGCGCCGAATTTAGGTCAAAAGGGAGGGTTTGTCATTAATTCTTTGATAGATACTCTTTTATATTACAAATTAATTTGTATCTGTGTTGAACTCAATTGTTCTTAAGTAACGAATACGTAACATTGAGTTATAATGCAATTAACATAAAGCTTCCAATGTGTATGTACAACGATAGTTTAACACACACGTCACTTTTTAGAAGCGCACAGCCATTGGTTGCAAACTTAAGTTATTACAAAAGAGTCTTTGCAGACAGTGAATCAAAAGAAGACCAGACATATCTCGATTGTATGCGTACTGTTGGGAAGTCAAACGATTCAATTCTGATCATTTTAGACTGCCGTCCTTACACCAATGCATATGCAAATCGAGTGAATGGGGGTGGGTACGAGAACACAAACACATACATTAAAACAGATCTTCAGTTCTTGAACATGCCAAACATCCACGAAGTGAGAAACATATATACCAACATGAGAAATGCACTTCGTGACCGAAAAACATTAACACCAACACAATACTTCTCTAAAACAAGTGGCTGGTTAGAACTATTGTACACTCTGTTAATATCAACGAAAATGGCTGTTGGCTTGATCAGGAGTGAAGTGAACGTATTGGTTCATTGTAGTGATGGGTGGGACAGAACTGCACAAATGTCTGCACTCACACGTCTTGTTTTAGAAAAGAAGGCACGAACAGTCAAAGGCTTTTTCGACTTGATCTATCAAGAGTGGATTTTGGCTGGTCATAAGTTCATGACAAGACTTCATTTAAGTAACGATGAGAACTCCCCTGTTTTTCTTCAGTTCATCGAAGTTGTCGTCATGCTTGTGAAACACCGTCCAAGTGCTTTTCAATTCAACGAAGACTTCCTGATCGAACTTGCTGCGGAAGCTGTGTGCCCCAAAACAGTGACATTTCTATTTGATTGTGACAGCGATCGAAATAATGCGAATTGTCAAAATTATGAGGACTTTTTTACTATTGAGGAGAAGAACTGGGAAGAAATTGACTGTGAGAAGTTGGAGGATGTTGACTTGGATATTTGTTGCAACGAGTTTGGAGTATGGGAAAGATATTATCTAAGAAAAACGGAATGCATAGTGATCGATTCTATATGAAGGTTTAATCATGTAGTGGTGTTTATGTTAAGTTTATTTGCTTTTATGGCGATTGATTCTATTTATAATAAAACAAAAAAAGTTTTTTTGTGAATGAATTTGTTTAAAAAAATTTTTGGTAAATCTTTGGTGTAAAATTATGACAACTTTTTAATAAAAAGAGTTATAAATACCAATTAAAACATTTAGTAATTAAATTATTAAATAATAATATACATACTACTATAATATTAATCTTTATATAATATTTTTAATAAAAAATGAATTATTTAATATCAATTTAAACTATTGTAAATTAAAACTATTTTATTAAAAAAATGATAAAAAACTTTTTTTATTAACATTTTTTTCATTTGAATTACAATTTTGAGTTGTTATTTGCTATTATTACTAAACTTTGTTTTAGTGGAACAGAAAAAATTGTTTTAAATACCAAAAATAATCAATAAAATAATAAGAGCAATTTTAAAAGCTGATAAACAAGAAATCTTATACAAACAACTTTATGTTTTGTATTACCACAAAAATGGCAATCCCTGATTCGATGTGAGAAATCCAAAGAATTTATGTAAGTCAACAACACGTGGTGATGCTTTGACAAAAAAGAAAAGCAATTATTTGATACATTTTGATGTTTAATTTACACTGCGATTTGGAAATGAGTTTTGAAATACAATACCCGATAGATAGTGGAGCAGAGACGGATTGGATGAGAAAAAACAATAAGAAAAGTTGAAAGAAAATAACACTTACTAAAATATCATGTTGCGAAATCTATTCGTTCAAAAGAAAACTTAATGCTAAAAACAAATTAATAACATGAATTGAGTTGCGTAGTGTTGTTGTGCGTATCGTCCTGACCGTTGCTCAAGAAAAACATGAGCGAGTCGTATCTGTCTTCATTCTCGAAAAGAATGGGGGCAGATTTTCTATATGACAAATTCTGTGGCGTCTTCGCCTTGCGATTCTCGCGCTTTGCTTTCAAAGCAGCAAGCTGTTCGAGAGCTCCAAGCATGTCGAGCTCTTTCTCTTCACACCTCTGCGTTATTGGCGAGAAGAACGTCCGTTTAGTCTTGTATTCGACTTCTTGTGAATTTGGACGCTTGATATTGATGAGACCCTTTGGCATGGTGTTATGAGCTTTCCAGTTTGGCAGTGTTTTTAAAGGCACAACCGCCTTTCTAATTTAAAATTTCAAATGATTCCGTTTCTCTTAGAAATGTGCCAGGCAACGCTCAATGCATTGTAACATTTTCCTCAACTCGCCCGTTTGTTACTATTTTGTATGGTTTGTTGAACCAAAGAAAACTGAAATGATCTCTTCTAGTAACACAAAAACCAGTTATGCTTATCATAACTTGTATTCGTTATTTTCTGAAATTTTTTGATTTCTTTATAAAAAACTTCATCTTTTTTCATTATTAGACTTTATTTAGAGAATTATCCGTCCTTCAGTGTAAGTGCACAATTTCGGGATATTATCAAACACCCGGAATTCACACCTATTAAATTTGTTAATGCTCTATTTTCAGAAAGTTGATGGAGATTTACCCCAAACAGAAGTTGCCGATTGGAAAAATAAATCGTCTGATAATCCCGTTTAGTGTATTAAAAACATGGTGATATGGAATGACACTACTGTTATTTCCTTTTTCTCACCATAATTTACCTTGTATCTTATTTATAGGAAAAAAAATTGTACGAAGTATTTCGAAGCAACGGCAGAAAAAGGTCGAGCCATCGCAAAGACGTTATTATTGTTTTAACCTTGAACTCATGGTCCAAAAAGGTTAATAGTGCTGTTTTTCGCACGATTTTTGTTCTGTTTATTATATGTTGTTACCTTAATAATAGATGGGTTCAAATAATCGAAAGAAGTTTATTGGTAAAAAAAACACAATTTCGGAATTTTTTACAATTAATTATATACGAACCACTTATTTATTGTAAAACTACCATTGGCACTAATATATTTTTGCATGTAATAAAGAACAAGTCTTAACTTCGTTCGTTAAAATAGTTTTCTTTAAAAACTTCTTTTAAAGAAATAATTTTCTTATCCAAAAGAAAACGAACCTTTTTCTTATGTAAAACAGCCTTTGCTTTATTTTTAATAATGGTGTGTGATTCCCCGAGGACATGGGTGTTTAAGAAAACTCAAAGACATCTTTTTGATAATCCTGATGAAAAAATAGACAAAGAATCGTTTTAGTTTTTTTAAGACAAAAAAATTTGATAAGATTTTCTTTGCGACTGTGGCATAAATTATGTAATGGAAAACATATAAATGAACAAAAAGCAAATTAACACGAGACAAGTGGATTAAGTAAAAATGTCATAAAAGTGCCTAAATGCTTTTGTTATTTGTAGATTGAAGGGTTAGGGATGTCCAACCATTCCTTAAATGTTTGTAAAAATAAAGATTCGGTGAACACCACATTTTAAAAAACAACAACAAAAACTCATTCAACATGTTTTAACATCATACAATAGTCATCCAATGTAGAATTGCTCAAAATACACTTTGTTCTTAAATTCAAAAAGGGTATAATTATTCACACTTGACTCCTTCACTATCCAAAACCACTTACAACGGAAATGTCTATAGGTCAGAACTAACCACCACATATGACTTTCAACAAATATTTTCTGACCAACTATTGTAGAATTATAAAGTACCAATATTTTAGTCGAAGTGGTACTTAACTTTACTATACTTCATTTATTAAACTCGTTCAAACTTCAATAAACAAATTATCAATATGGCACTCATTTATAAATAGTATTATATTTGTCCCTCACTCGTATTTAAAACGTTAGAGTGATTCGTTCACACACAAAATACCGCGAACCTGTTTCATAATCAACTCGTTGTGTAACTGTCATTAGCACTGAATTGCCAACAAGAGCCTCGTTCAGAAATTCCACAAATTTCAATTTTGTGTCGAGTTTGAGTATCATCTTCAAATGTTCCTATCGGTTATTCCCTTTCAAATTACTCATACACAGAAGAACACAAGAGATTAATAAACAAACAATAAGACTCTCCGTGAATGTGACGGTAGCTTTCTCGTTATTGCTGGAGACGCAATCAAAAAAAATTTTGGTCTTAATCAAGTCTGGTGTATCGCTCATTGTGTACTTCCCTATTTTCACACTGAGCAGAAACTTATCATCGGAAACAAGTGGAATTTCGCTTGGCGTTTTAGTCTTTTCTGTTGCGTCAGTCTCATTTTTTAACTTTGAGTTGCTCTCCAAAACATCGTTTTGTGTAAGTTGGGTGACTGAAACGTTGTTAAAATTCGACGAAAACACATCGCAACTTGGTCTCTTTCGTGGAAAATCCTCTTCAGAGGCCGTTTGCACCAACAAGTCAGCTTTTCTCAACTTTAATATGTCGGATTGACATAATGTCTTTCGAGCAGTCTTTTCAATTTGTACTTCCGCCCACCCATCGTTCCCATTATTTTCTTCCGTGGGTAGTTCACTCACTTCTTGTGTGCTTTCGCTGTTCAAATCAAGAACAATAGGGTTTGTTACGTTGTCTCCTTGTATAAGTTCCTGTTCTTCCTTTTGTAGTTTACTATCATTTGAATTCAGTTGAACAGTTCCATGTTCTTCTTTGACACAAGCAGTCTTTTTCTCTTCTTTTTCGAAAGTTTCCATGATGGTGTCGATATCATCCACTCCAAAGTTGAAACTTTCCGTATTCTTATTATCGTCTTCGCCTTTGTTAAGTGCCTGGACATGGTCTTGACTGTATTCTGCCATTATCTCATCAATCGTGTTTTGTGTGATTTGTGACTGCTCTTTCTTTTCGCCAAGTTCTGACATTTTATATTCTATCCCGGATGTCTGGTGCATCTCAATAGCGTTGTCCGTCTGTGCACCAAGTTCTTTTTTGACTTTCTGGTTTTGAGTGATGTTTATTATTTTCTCTTTGTCTGTGGCGCTCATCCTTTCAATCAAAGACTGTTGGAACTTCTCCAGTGCATTGATAAACCCTTTATTCGTCTTACTTTCCTTCCTCTCTGCCATCTCAACAACTGTTGTTATAATGTCGTTCTTCTTAAAGTAAACTTCATTGTCATTATCATTAAGAAGTACACAACTCTCAGAACACACGCGGACTAATTCCCCTTCAAATTGGTACCCACTGACTTTAATCCACTTGTTCAGTGGGTTTTGTGTGATGTTTTCAAACACAACTTCAAACACCCGTCCTACCCCAAGAAGGCCAGGTATTTGAAATTCTTCGGATTGCCCCTTTTCATAGTTTTTAACGTCATCTGCAGTATACCCAACAAACACTGTCCCTCGTCTGCGCTCACAGAAGTTCGTTGCAAAACTCACAACATACCCAACAAAATCCAGAAACTTCCCATCGCGTCGCATTTCTTTTGTTTTGGAGATTGTGAGAACGTTTGGGTAATACTCGCCTTTTAAGTATTGCACGTCGTCTAATATATAGTGTTCGAGCGTTGTTGGTACTTCTGTTTTGATGACTCCCAAATCTAAAAGTTTGAACACGTACTTCACTTCGTTGTTAAACACCCTCAAGCAAAATTCAGTTGGTTTCCTTGTTGTCCCGACATTCAATATGACACAACCCTGTTTGTTAACAACTTTCCTCACTGGGATGTTCTCCAATATGATTTTTCTGTGTGCGGAAAAGTACTTCTCCAAATTAATTTTCGACCCAAAAAGTATTGGAGCAAATTGAATGATGACAAAGTGCTCGCCATTACCAACTACAACCTCCTCATAATCAATTTCTGGAGTCCCATCTTTATCATTTTTGAAGCATTGCCTCGAGCTTACGATGACTCCACACATCCATTTGTTCGCTAAAGAGTCTGGATTTGTTTTGGAACTGATATCACACAACTCGACTTTCCGTAGCATAAATTTATTTTGCTTTGAATCGTTTGGATTGGATTTCAGTGTCACTTGTTTCTGGTTGACGCTCATTGAATTAACAGATTCCCTCAACCACCTTTTTGGTATAAATAATTCACCCAACCATTTTCAGAGGAATTTGGGAAGTACTTTTTATAGTTTAATATGAACTTTATCTAATACCAAGTCCATTATAGTTGATAAGGATAAAAAAAAGGAGTGGAAACTACAAGAATGGGTTAAATTGTTCAGACAGTAGACGTCACACAACAGTGCAAATTTCTCTTCTAGGAGCAGGTTCCGGTTGTGACGGCTTTGGTTCGAAATTAACAAATTTCTTTACAGTTATGTCGATGACTTCATTCAAAGCATTTTGAATGTTTTCTCCTGTTTTCGATGAGACTTCAAAGTATTTTGTGAATGTGTGTTGGAAGGTAAACGTTTTTCGGTCTTCTATTGGAATGTCCATACACCCAAGATCGGTTTTTGTTTGGCAGATAAACCATAACTTGTCGGATGTAATAAATCGGTCAACATAATTCATCCATTGCTGCATCGCTTTCATCCCTTCATTCGATGGAAAACAACAAATCAACGCATTTGCTTTACGGAATATCGATAACGTCTCTTCTTCGTTGTATTCACACTGACGAAACTCAACTAAACGGACTTCAACATTCTCCCCATTCATTTGGTAGTCTTTCAATCGCTAACACGTCATTTTTCTATTTTAATATAATACGTTTTTATACACATTTTATTTACATATACAAACTGACTCTTCATGTTCCATCTTCTCCTCAAAGTACATGTCATTGATGTACCGGGTGATAACACACGTCTTACCACAATCCTTGTCACCTACAAATAAAATCGTCACACCCTTCCCAAACTTGATCAACTTACGATTCACCTTCATAGCCATATTTTATAGTTCGCTTTGTTTGTTTGTTTCTTGCATTTTAAAAAGAAGTAAGACCAATGATTTGTTTCTTTGAAATTTTTATTTGAATATTAGCATTTTGTAAGAAATTTTTACTAAATTAATAATTCCAAAATGATTTTTTTTCGTACAGTATTTTTTCGTTTTTTGTTTTAACTATACTTAAATAATATTTGTTCATTATTTTTCTATTAGAGAAGATAAAATAATCTGTTTCATCATTTTTTAAAAACTTTATTGATAAATTTTTATTAAACAAAACTATTTAATAATCGTACATTCTAAAACCATAAACACTAAAAATTTCCAAGTTTTAAAACTATAAGAATGGTTTATTTAAATTAGAATCTAATAAAAGACTTATATACAATTGAATAACCATGTTGTGCTGTCAGTTTTATAAAATAACTAAATAAATATAATTTCTAATTAATAAATGAAGATAAATAAAAATTTTTAACCTTTTTATCATGAAAGATTTTAAAGGTGAATCTCTTTTTTCTTCAAATCTCACAATTATTTATAGAAAAAAAATATAGATAAATTTACTATAATAATTTGATAATTAAAAAAATTCTATTTTTGCAAACAAATAGCAATATTAAAATAATAGTTTTTTAATTATTCAATATTATAAAATAAATCTCTTTTATTTGTGCAATTTTTGTAACATTGGTGATGCAAATATAGAATGACGAAATGATCGAGTATCAAACTAAATAATGATAATAAATTATTAATTTAATATTTTATTAAAATATGGTTCAAAAAACCAGAATTTAAAAATGAAATGAAATAACATCATCATAAAAAGTAAATCAAAAGCAAACAATATATATTTATCACAACCAAATCCTTTATAAAGACTTGTAAACCATGACAGGTCTTTCTCGGCCAAAAGTCTTCCTGAGCTTTTCTATGTTTTGCTTCATGAGCGTGATGACGTCTTGATTCATATGTTTGCCTTTTTGTTTTGTAGCAAAGTACTTCTGAGCGTGAGTTCTAACCTGAACTGCTGTTCGTGTTTCGACAAACTCGCTGATCTTGGAGACAGGTAGTCGTTTGGAAGATGTTGCGTTGAGAAAGCAAATGCATATCAAAAACTTCATGTGTTCATTGTCGTTCCAATAGCGCTGAGTTATTGGGCTAACACACACTGGGACATTCAAAGAGAGATGTGTGAACGTTAAAATTTGTTTCAATTCCTCCTCTTGATGGTCAAAGAGTGCAAGAAGGTTTTCTTGTGTAGCAATGCTAACGGACATGTGGTGTCTGATTATTAAAAAATCGCTTTTTATAAGTGAGAAAACATTTTTTGAACAAATTGGTCGTTACATTATTTGTATTTAAAATTAATTTAGTACATTTTGTGTACTATTAAATAAACAACGTTCAATTATTTGTACCTTTTTTGAGGTGCAAATAATGTGCCACTAAAAGTGTTTTTTGATGTTTTTTATTTCCCGATTTTCAAGACGAAAATGTTTTATTATTTTTGTTATTATTATTCATTAATTATTATATCGACAAATACAAAACAAAAATGTTCAGAAAATAGAAATAATAATATTTATCATTTTGAAATGATGTTCCCAAATATTTTTAAATTTATTTAAAAACTCGCTATTTTTTTGTTATAATAATTAACTGAATTTATTCTATAAAATTCCAAATTCTGTGGTTTTTATTTTTTCTGTTTTTTTTTCGTTGTATTTTTTAAATTTTTGGCGTGTTTTTTCGGGTTTTTCATTTTTGAAAATGATTTATTTTATTATCAAATAATTATTTTATAGTTTGAAAAAAATAACAAAACAATAATAATTATA